AAAATAGCAGCTTAATGCTGCTGTGTTTCGTATGGTGAGTGTAGAGAACCGGAGACCCTTTTTACTGGAAACGAGGCATTCCATCTTAATCCTCACGGGTGACAACGCATCTGCATTTTGATTCCTCATCCAGGATAAATGTAGATGTCTATGGGCCACAGCGACCACTTACCATCAGGTGGACTGTGTGCTCGTTTGTCACCCTTATCATATAAAAAAAATATATTAAGATTTCCTTCCAACAATTATTTATCTATACAAATAAATAAAATCGTCTGTTTGAATGTCAAAATTACAGCGTTTTACTAAATCCATATGAAAGTAGACTTATAACAAAAATATAATTTTTAAAATGTTGTCTGTCTGTCTCTCTGTTTGTTCCGGGTAATCTTCGAAACGGCTGGACCGATTTCGAAGATTACCCGGACTGGAATTTCACTGGCAGATAGTTGAAGGAGTAACTTAAGCTAATTATATTTTAGAAAAAGAATTAGGGTTCCACGCAACATAATTAAAACCCTAAATTACACGCGGGCGAAGTCGCGGGGACAGCTAGTGTGATAATACCGGAGCAGCAATCTGTCTGCTGGCGGTTAGGTTCCCACCAAAACTCCCTTAGAGTAAGAAAACCTTGCCCCACAGCCTAAAAATACATCACCCGCATTATCTTGAGGATGTTGTAAGAAGCAAATTTTACCGAAATTAATATTTGGTGTAAAACTGGCTTACAAAGTCAGAACAACTGAGGGAGCAAAATGAGATTGCCTAAGGGTCATTAATATGGCAATCATAAATAAGTATTTTTTTCTGACATTTTCTACTGTCGCATCTCATGACATCCGCATGACGAAATCGGGTGATGGATTTTCCTACGCCACCAGCACACGGCACAGCTCTGATAGTCGTTTATTTTATATTAAATATGTATATCGTTCGAATTTAATAGGTTGGATAAACATACAGATGTCTAAAATTAAAAAAATAGGCATAAAACAATAAAAAAATATTGTACACTAGTTATTAACATAACTTTATACAGGGTTATTTTGCAATAACCGACCAAATTTGCAGAGAAGGTTCAGAATAAGTAACATAGACTATGGTGAAGAAATGTTAATAACAAAAATCTCAAACATTCTGTCCTTTTTCTCTTTTAAATTCCAAATGCGTGATAATTAGTTACAATGCATTATTATGACTGATTGTCATAAATACTATTTTACTACGCACGCACGGGTCAATCGATCGGTCGGAAAAAAACGATTGTACATTAATTAAATCGCAAATAGAGAAGCGCGTACGCGCTGTTGTTGCCCATAAAACATATTCAATTTGGATTAATTACAAATATAAGTAGAAGTCTTATTTACTCGTATTTTCAAAACCTACAATAACGGTATATCATGATTTATATATTTGAACTTAAGTTTAAAATTAGACTACTCTTTGAAAAATAACCGCCGTGTAGTGGCGGTTAAGAATATCCACTACTTCATATCTTCCCGTGGGTGTCGTAAAAGGCGACAAAAGGAAACAGACAGGAGATGGGCAGCAGTAAACCAACCAATTGCCAACCCGCTCGCCCAGCGTGGCAACTATAGCAAATACCCCCCAATGATTAGAGCAACAAAGAGACGGCCCCCAGTCCCCGGCGGCCCCGCTATTCCTGGCTACGGTGGCGACCATGGTAACAGCGGGGCAGGGAGTGCTAAGAATCTCCGGTGGAGGTTCCGTTGCCACCTAAGATGACTCGACCTGGCAACATACAACGCACGCACCCTGAGGACTGACGAGAAGATCGTGGAGCTGGAAGAAGAGATAGACAAGTTACGCTGGCATATTATAGGATTATCCGAGGTCCGAAGAGAGGGGGAGGACACGGTAATCCTCGAAACTTGCTCTATCACCGGGAGGGCGACCATCTGTCCCAAGGAGGTGTCGGATTTATCGTCCACAAGTCTCTCGTTAACAACGTTGTAAAGATTGGGAGTGTGTCGACGAGGGTTGTGTACCTTATACTCAGAATCACCAAACGGTATTCGCTGAAGGTCATACAGGTTTACGCACCAACCTCGGCACATCTCGATGAGGAGGTGGAGGAAATGTATGAGGATATCTCTAGAGCCATGCATTCCTCCAAAACCCACTATACGGTGTTAATGGGAGACTTCAATGCAAAACTAGGCACAAGAGAGAACGGTGAGCTGAAAGTAGGGAAATTTGGAATAGGGCAACGGAACCCAAGGGGCCAGCAGCTGGCCGACTTCATGGAGAAAGAGGGACTCTTCATGATGAACTCTTTCTTCCAGAAGCGGTCCCACAGGAAGTGGACCTGGTCGAGCCCCGACTGTTCGACAAAAAATGAGATTGACTTCATTTTGACGACCAGACCACTGTTCAGTGATGTCTCCGTGATCGCGAGGGTGAAAACTGGTAGCGATCACCGAATGGTTAGAGGCACACTGAACCTAAACGTTAACTTGAAGAGGTCACGTCTAATGAAGTCCATCCCCCGCTCCATCCTTTCCCCCTGCTCTGTTCCAAAGTCCCGAAACCTTTCAGCTTGAGTTACAAAACCGTTTTCAGTGCCTAAAAGACTGCAATGAAGTGTACGATATGAATGGCAAGCTCGTGGAAACTGTCCATGCGGTCGGAGCTAAGTTCTGCAAGACCCGCCGCAGAAGAACACAAAAACTCTCCGATCACACTCTTAATCTCATGGCTGTTAGACGGGAGATGAAGCTACATTCTTCAACAGATTTGACAGCATACAGGCAACTGAACAGACAGATCTCCTAATGCATGCGGTGGGACTTGCGCAACTTCAATACAGCTTGTATTAGAGAAGCGATCGAGCGGAACGAAGGCTGCAAAGTCTTTGCCAGAGATCTGTCTGCCAGAAAGAGCCAACTGTCAAAGCTGAAGATCGAGTGTGGCAGCATCGTTTCCGGGACACCTGAGATTTTGAGTGAGATTGAGAGGTTCTATGGGCAGCTGTACACGTCATCGTTGGAGCCACACGCAAGTGTGAGTAACGATGCAAGATCGAGTCTTATCCGACACTATTCCGAAGATATCCCGGACGTCAGTCTAAGCGAGATTAGAATAGTTCTCCAGCGAGGCGAGGAGTCCCCGGGCGAGGATGGAATTACAGCGGAGCTTTTGAAAGCGGGTGGAAAACCGGTACTTGAAGTCCTTCAGAAGCTCTTTAATTCCGTTCTTCATAGTGGCACTATTCCGGAGACGTGGTGCCGAAGTGCGGTGTTCTTGTTCTTCAAGAAAGTCGGCAACGCTCTTTTGAAGAACTACAGACCGATTTCCCTTCTGAGCCGCGTCTACGTGCTGTTTTCGAGAGTCATTACGAATCGTCTCGCACGCAGACTTGATGACTTCCAGCCTCCCGCTGGAAGCTGGTTTCCAAAAAGGCTTTAGTACCATGGACCACATACATACCCTGCGGCAGATTATACAGAAGACTGAGGAGTATAATCTGCCACGTTGCCTTGCGTATGTGGACTATGAATGTGTGTTGTCTGTGGCCTTTGATTCCGTCGAAATTTGGGCGGTGCTGCAATCCCTTCAGCGGTACCAAGTTGACTGTCGGTATATCGAAGTGCTGAAATGTTTGTACAGTAGAGCTACGATGGCTATCCGAGTACAGAATCAGAGTACGAAATCTATCCAACTGCAGAGCGGTGTAAGACAGGGTGACGTTATATCTCCGAAACTCTTCACCGCTGCATTGGAAGACGTTTTCAAGCTACTGGACTGGAAAGGATACGGTATTAACATCAATAGTGAGTACATCACTCACCTCCGATTTGTCGACGATATAGTCCTTATGGCAGAATCGCTGGAGGACCTAAGCACTATGCTCAATGACCTCAATGGTGTCTCCCAACGGATAGGTCTTGAGATGAACATGGACAAAACAAAAATCATATTTAACGTCCATATCACACCTATACCGGTAGTTGTTGGGAGCACTAAGCTCGAAGTTGTTGACGAGTATGTTTACCTGGGACAAATAGTCCGACTAGGAAGTCCAACTTCGGCCGAGAGGTCAATCGACGGATTCAACTCGGCTGGGCAGCGTTCGGGAAACTACGACACATCTTCTCGTTAGACATACCTCAAAACCTGAAAACGAAATTGTACAACCAGTGCGTGTTGCCAGTGATGACTTACGGATCTGAGACGTGGTCCTTCATTGCTGGCCGTATGAGGAAACTCAAGGTCGCTCAGCGAGCTATGGAGAAGGCTATGCTCGGGGTGTCTCTGCGTGATAAACTTAGAAATGAGTATATCCGCAGTAGAACCAGAGTAACCGACATAGCCCAACGGATTAGTAAGCTGAAGTGGCAGTGGGCCGGCCATATAGCTCGAAAAACCGACAACCGATGGGGAAGAAAGGTTCTCGAGTGGCAGCCTCGTACCGGTAGGCGAAGTGTAGGGCGACCCCCCACTAGATGTAGTGACGACCTGGTGAGACATGCGGGAAGTCGATGGATGCAGGTGGCTCAGGACCGTGCTTTGTGGCATTCCTTGGGGGAGGCCTATGTTCAGCAGTGGACTTGTGAAGGGCTGTAATGATGATGATGATGAAAAATAACGCCGTGTAAAATATACAATATTTATTACCATTATAAAATAACTAAAAACTTAAATTATCCTAGTCCATACTCCAGTCCTATTCCTCTCGTTGTAGTGCGAAGAACGAAACTGCGTTTCCTCGCTGAATGGTAGTTTTACTTTCCTCACTACTTGAATATATTCAAGCGTTATGCGAGAATTAACGAAACACATGAGTAATTAAGTATAGGTAGAAAATAATAAACTGCTTCGGTGATAAAATAAAAATGATCGTTATGAAATGTTTACAATTGAACTAAGTACCTACATGAATTTAATGGATTTTACCGCATGAAATTAAACACCCTAAGAATATTTTGTCATGAAAATGACTACTATTTATTAAATAACGTAAATATAGAACATACCGGCAATATCATCGTTCAGGTAATAATATAATTTCACGGCTCCCTTTAAAATCAGTGCCATGACTATGCACTGTTTCTTGCACCATAAAATAATTAAAAAATAAAACACTGCTTTGACGTCTGTAATTACACTGCGGCGCGGAAACAATTCTGTTACTAAAAGAGGTAAACGTATTATGCTAAAACGTAAACCTATTTAAATTTTACATTAGCACTTTATACCTACTCATGCATGAAGAACAAAACCCATATCACACAAGGGCTAACAGTCCATTTCATGCGTATAAGACGTTTTTTAGATTTAAAATGTAACCAAATTCGTTTTTGAGTTGATTTTAGTATTCAGCTAATAGATAATTTATGAAGTAAGTTTGTCTTTTCTCTTCTGTATTAAAGCTAATGTGTATATATTTTTAAGGTAAGTGAGACAAACGAGCACACAGTCCACTTTACGGTAGTACGTGTAGTAGGTACTCGTAGTAGTGGTTGCTGTTGTTCTTAGACGCGTAAATCTATCATCGATTAAGAATCAAAATGCAGATGGCTACGTGGTAGAACTCCTTTTCTACCGAGAAGTCCACCTGGCTATGGCTCTACTACCCTATTACTTGCTCGATGCACTGCTGTGTTCCGGTCTGAATTGTACCACAGTAAATATATAGTTTTACTGTGATTGTACAGAGAGTTGTTCTTAGATACCTAAATCTATCATTGATTAGGACTCCTTTTCTGCACGCTGTGAGGTATTTCACCTCATAGGTGACAATGCGTCTGAAGCCTTCTTTGTTCAAAGTTGTTTGCAAGTGTCCATGTCCATGTCAGTTTCAGTAGCCTCTTTCTTTCAATTGAACAGTAAATGCTTTTGTCACTTCAATTAAAAGAAAAATAAAGAAGTCAAGTTAATTAATTGGGCATTTCATCCCAGTCCTCAAAAATAACTAATTCACAACACATCTAAATTTTGATTTTTGGATAAATAATTTAGGATTCAAATGTAGGTGTCCTATGGGCAACAGCATTCACTTTACTGGCGAGTGGAGTGGTGGGTGGACTTTGTGCTCGTTTGTTTACTTCTTTAAAAGTGCAATTTTATAAAATACGATTACTTTTTATACTCTACTAGCGATCCGCCCTGACTTCGCACGGGCACGGGTGTTTTATGGAGCTCGACAACAGCGCCATCTACCGGATTCTATTGTGAATCTAAATCATTCTCGAATAAACTTAATCACATACACAAAATTACATCAAAATCAGTCCAGTCAATTAGGAGGAGTTCAATCACACATACACAGACACACGGACAGAAGAATTCGAGATAATCGTGTGGAAGATTTTAAAAGTGATAATTTAATTATATACATAAGTATTTTTTTATTATTATTTTGTGTTCTTAAAATTCTACAAAGTTGAAATTGTATAAAAATTGAAATTTATTTAAAATGAAAAGTATAAATAGAAAGAGATGCTCATAAACATTAATTTTTATTAAATATGTCATCGAAATGCAAACTCATTGTACAAAGGTGTATTGTATTTGGTTGATTTAAAATTCAAATCATATGGATGTGTGAATGACCCATGAAATGTGTTTATGTTCAGCTCAATAAATACAACTTCGATAAAATAAAAATAAATAATATAGTTTCCAAAAAAAGTAAAACTCCGGCATAGTTTTAAATGATGAATGATGATACTTACATTATGTCGGACTGCTTTAAGAGACAATCGTATACGCTTATTACTTTAACTTGAGACCTATAACTGGTACCGAGCATTAAATTAAATATTATAATGCTCCACGCATTCTAATATAATTATTGTAATGAGCTTCCTTACACTTTTTTTACATACGAATGTATTTTATAAGTAAGTAACTGTTGTGAGAAAATAGTCTACTTGTGAGTTTCTTACCGCTCTTTCTTACAAGATCTCCCCGCAGTGGGGACTTGTTGAAGCGATGGCGTCGCATTTCACTTTTAAAAAACTGACCAAGTGCGTGTCGGGCCACGCGCAATGTAGAGGAAGGATTCAGTAGTTGCCCGTCACAATACGTGGGCTTTCTTGATAATGAGCTTAATAAGTGAGTTCGCGATTTTAACCCGTAAAATGGGCCCCAATAGGAAGATCATAAATGAAAGATTTATTTTCAAATCAGTCTTATAGGGAGCGGAATTAAAAAAAAATTAAAAAGCTTTTCGATTTTGAAAATAATACAATTTACATCAAATCATTCACAAGCCAAGGTACGATGATGATCATAGTTGACTATCTATCTACATATTCCCGGCAGTGAACTCTAAGATATTATACATGTATGATCGTAACGAACTTTCACGTAAACTACCACTGACCTGAATTATCCTGAGGTCGCCCGCGTAAACCAAGAGTGTGACGAATGAAACTGTATGAGGCTATATGATTGTATGAATACTTTGAACGAGGCCTACAATAACTACGTAAGTACAAAGTAATAAGTGTCCTCCCTGCTTATCTCGCAAATGAAAAATTAAAGTAATGCATCTAAGTCGTTTCCTTCATAAAATGTTTTTTAACAGTTTACAATAATATTACAGTGTTATAAAGCAGCTAGTTTTAGGTCATTTTCTATGGAGTTGTAACGAAATTTTTACTAATCGAAGTGCATTTTATAAGTTGGTCGACTATTACTCGTTAACTTCTTAATTCTACTTAGCTGTGATAGTTTTCTTTTTAATTTCATTATATATACGAGTACATACTACTATCGTGTCTACTTTACACATTTCCAAAAACAGCGGTTTAGTTGGTAAAGGGCGGGGTCACATGACTAATGAAAAATATCACTTTTAAGCTAAATATTTCGCAACGGACCACTAAATCGAAAATATTTTGTTCCACACCCCCAGTGTTTTCATAAGACCTATCAACGATACCCCCCCTCCCCCCCATGACGGAAAAGACGGGTAAAAAAAATCATTCTCTATTTACTTGTATGGGAAGTACCCAAAATAAAACGGTTTTTTATGATTTTATTTCACAATTTTCTAGGCGTGATTAATATCTATAACTATGCCAAATTACAGATTTGTAGCACCTAGGATCTCTGAGCAAAACCGCGGGTGGCCGGACGGACAGGCAGACGGACGGACGGACGGACGGACTTGGCGAAACTATAAGGGTTCCTTGTTGTGTAATTACGGAACCCTAAAAAATGCTTTATAAAGCCCAATTCTGAATACTTAAAAATATTTAACTTTGACTATTTTAGTCTCAGATCTTAGTCCATAAGGGTGACAGCTAGGCTTGCCAACTCCAAAAAAGGAATTTCCGGGATTACCCAGCTCGACATCCGGGACTTGAGTATATTACGCGGGACACAACACACCGCATACAAATTGGCTAGAAAAAAAACACTAAGTATTCTTTTTTATAGGATCGGGTGACAAACGAGCACACAGTCCACCTGATGGTAAGTGGTTACTGTGACCCATAGACATCTACATCTATCCTCAATAAAGACTCAAGACGCAGATGCGTTGTCACCCCTGAGGACTAAGATGGAATGCGTCTTTGCCAGTAAAAAGGGTCTCCGTTTCTCTACACTCACCATACGAAACACAGCAGCGTTAAGCTGCTATTTTACGCTGGTTTTCTGTGAGAGCGTGGTCCTTCCCCGGTCGAGCCGACCCATTCGTGCTACAACCATAATATAGCTGCAGCATGGCTCTACCACGTAGAAAATAGTATATAAATTTTTAATAATTTAATAAAAAACAATACAAATCTTTGACAAACATTTTAAATTTTATTTATTTTTTGTTTTAAAACTGTACTTATTTTGCGATTTTGCGCATTTTAACAATTATAAAATTTACGTAGTCACAAGTAGTTATAAAATTCACTGCATTTTTGATCAAAATTAATTTTAATTATAGTTCAGCCTTGACGTGGTCAACAGCCATATTTCTGCTGTCTGTCCATGCATTTCCACAGAGAGAAAACACTCTCTCTGCTGATGCATTTGAAGGTGGTATCGAAGCTACCATCTGAAAGATATGTCGATAGCCAGGTGCGCCTTTCATGCACGGAACGAGCGAGCGAGCGAGTGACCCACCCCCGCGTAACACACTCACTCGCCCGCGTACTGAACGAACACCGATTTCTACTCATGCGAAATACGCAATGCTTAGGTATTACGAAATTTTAATAGTGTAGTTGGTGGTGCAGTTGGTACGAGATAGATACTTGTGGCAGCGCTGTCGTCGCGCCACAAGCGAAACACATCGAAGCCTAAATCGCACTAACAAAGTTCCGAAGTTAAAGCAGTATATATAGAATAGCTCCGAACTACCAATAGGAGCGTTGGCCGCTCCCCGGGCAGAACACCTTGTCCGGCGGGATATCTCACCTTTTGCTTCCACCCGCCACATACAAATTACTAATATCATAAAATCACTGATTTCCGGGACATAAGGCGTCCCGCAAGGCGTTACGGCGGGACTGTCCAAAATTGACCCAGAAGCGGGACGTCCCGGAAAATCCGGGACGGTTGGCAAGCCTAGTGACAGCAGGGGCGTAGCTACCGTCGTATCAGTCGTATCAATTATACGGGGTCCCTGGGGCTACAGAGGCCCCGAACGTAGGTATATAAGCAAAAATTCTAAGGACTTCTATGGGACAGGATGTTGGTTTGAATGGTTTGGCTAGCTTACTTCCTAAGAGCATTAATTGTAAGTAATAACTTATAATCATTATATAATTATTTTAATTCAATGCGAGAATTTTTGTTCCTTTTGGGAAAAATCTTTACCCTTCATTTGGGTCCCCCGACAAATTTTGATACAGGGCCCCACGCTACTCCGTACTCCGTTCTGTGATTTTTAGGTCTTAATCGAGGAAAGATATAGGGGTCTATGGGCCACAGCATTCATTTATCGGATAGATCACAACATACTATTAGCTGCAAAGATCTACTATACTACTAACGTGGCGCAATGACCCAAAATCTTTCTCTCTTTTCTCGGATAGTTTAAGTTAAGATAGTAATGATTGAATATCCCGATCACAAAACTACTGTAACAGCTTCAGAATCTTCATCATTTCAACATTCATCAATCAGACTTCAGAAGTTCAGTAGAAGCACAGAATAAATAATAGTGTAAAAGTCAAATCTTCAGCGTAACTATGGAGTGTAGAGAGAAGGAGGACCATCTCTATATATGAAAAGTGTCCCTAAAAACGTGTGCAATAAGGGTGGCGCTGCAGTAGCATAGGATAAATTAAAAAAAAAGCGCCAAAATTAATTAGAATAAGATGGAGAAATAAACAAGGACCGACCAATCCGCTTGGTTTTGTACTACGTAAATAGTTGAGGTTTTGTATACTGGCATTTTACTAACTACTCTAGTCATGAAATTTTTTAAATATTTGAATTCAGCTGACTTCACTCCGTTCACAACAGCTATCTTCATATCGTAGTTTTTCAGACGCCAGCGCTATTGTGGTAGGTTTTGGAACCTCTATTTTCAGTAAATAGTAGGACACTTTTTCAACTTTCGCCCCTTATAAGATGGTTCTCCTTGTACTTTACACTCCATAAGTGTACCACTGTGTCACTGTATTATATTCTATCTCATTCTCTCGCAGGCTAAATCCTATAGATGTACATACATATATGTTTGTCTCTTTTAGTGTCGCTTTTTCGTTTGAGTTTCTTCAAACAACAACGATTCTAAAGAAGTTTTCACTTCAAATATAAATAAATATTGCTGGAATTTTATATGTTAACTAGTGAACGCTTAACATAAGATAAAAACACTCATTTACACATAAATTAGGGCAACTTACCCATAGCGGATGTAAAGATAAAGAGGTGGGCATAAATACATATATAGGAGGACAATCACAGCACGTCAAGATTAAGAAAACCAACAGTTAGCATTAAGCATCGTTCATGGAGGCTGAAGGGACCCTTGAGTTTGGACAGCCCGGGGCACTAAGATAAGGAGCACATGATGGGCGTTATTGAGCGTAGCCTAGAGATCATGTTGGCGAGGATTCGATTCCTTTTAGTAGTTATAGAACTATCGTTGTTCCTTCAAGATTTTGTGTATCAAAGATCTGTAATACAGTACTTATAATGTGATATTGCATTTATATTGTGCAATACATGCACAGAGAACGGAATTACCGCGACGTTGAGTTTCCGTCCTCTATGTGCAATTGAATGGTCAATAGCTTATCAATTACAAATTTCGTATGGATGGGTTATATGTTATAACCTATAGATTTCGAATTTCGGGTACAATAATTTGGGTTATAGGTGCCGCGAGCGCGAGACGTCTGACACTGCAACCGCCAATTCACTTACCAAAAGGTAAAAAAGTACCAGTCTATATACGATATAACAGCTGGGTACAAGCCTCTTATTTCTGAGAGGGTTTTTAGGGCAAGGGAATGTCCGCCGCGCTGCCCCAAGGCGTGTTGGCGAACTTCATATGTGTACGAATTTTTTTTCCTTATTTCTTAGACATGCAGGTTTTCCTTAACCGCCTTTTCTCCTCATGATGTTTTCCTTCACCGCCGAGCACGTAGTAAATCTTGAAATTATATTATAATTTGTAATTGGAGTTAATAACTTCATTGGTGTCGGGGGGGTTCAATCTCGGGTTGCTCGCGGACTGTGAAATTTACAACGAGCGACTTAGCCTCTGAGCTACCACTGCTAAAGCGTAAAGATTAAGTCTAATCCATACAATGGGAGAGGCTCATGACCTCTAGTGAACTTTTACGGACAGATAGAAAAGAAGAGAAGTTGAACTATAATTTAAAATTAAAAATTTTGTACTGCCGACTTCAATATAAGTTATTAAGAATAACTCAAAAACTGTTGGCCTGACCTTGATTAAATTCATATGGGACCACACAAGAAGTACCAGCTTTCAAATAAAAAAAGAATCATCGAAATCGGTTCACCCAGTAAAAAGTTATGAGGTAACACACATAAAAAAATATACAGTCGAATTGAGTACCGTCTCCTTTTTGGACGTCGGCAGAAAAAAGAATTTAGGTGCAATTGGGAACAATAAATAATTCATCAGAACAGTAAACATAATTTTAATAAATTGCAATACAAATCAAAATATTTTCTCTATACAGAAACGCGTCTATAATTATTTCTTAAAAGGAAATTCGGGATGCTTTTCAATGCCTGGAAAGAAACCAAAATCACAAATTCGGCCGTTCTCCCCACGGTCTAGTGCGGACAGCTCAGTCATCTCGCTTTCTGTCAGTTCAAAGTCCCATACAGAGATGTTCTGAAAAAATGTAAGACGCTTAAAAAAACAATTAAAAAAATATATAAAAGTGATGATTCTCTTCCAGTCGATTTCGACCTTGGCTACAACTTTCGTCTACTTAACAATTCTTAGAACGAGACTTACAGAAGAAAATCCCAGTGTTATCGACTACAGTGCGTGCAGTTTCACATATTTGAATATCCACGGGAAAAGATAGAGTTATGAAGTCGCCTAGTACGTCCTTTTATTATAGCTTATAAAATTCCATTGTTGAATATAAACCTCCCCACAGATTGCTCCATAGATTTTGCCATAGTTGCAATGCTTGACAGGCGGGTTAGAAACTGCCATTTTTTTATTATTTTAAGTTGTTATCTGAAAGTTGCTGCTGCCCATCTCCTGTTTCATTTTCCCTTTGTCATATCTTGCGACATTCACGGGACGATATGAGGTAGTGGATATTCTTACAACGTCACTACACGGTAACTAGGAAGTCACTAATACACGGACGACAATAATATTGGCTATTACCTGTTTAATCCTTGCGGGATTGGTGCTCTTTGGTATGGCCGCAACTCCACTCTGTAGCAAATGTCTAAGCAGTATCTGGGCTGGCGTGCGTCCGTGTGCTTCCGCTATTTTCACTACAGCTGGCAACTGCAGTAGGTCAGGGTATTCGCGGCTAAACACATCACGTACAATTAGATACAAATATAATATTTGCTTGACCTTTTAAATACGCTATGCAAAAGTAAATTAGCTTTTATGCACGCGCAAAAACTTAGTAGTATTTAATTGTAATATAATAAGAATAAAGTAAATTGAAAACACTACAATTTGTAATAATATTAAGAATAGAGCGCTATGTTCGCGCATCAATAATTGCGGGTCGCGGTCGCTAGATTGAATAGAATGAATAGAATACCTTGGAATTATTCATTGAAATTTATAAAATGCATATATTTTTTATGGTTATTCGTTACACACCACTCGCCATTATCGCATGCCGCTGATGATTAATAATTTTAATAAGCAGTAATGCGTTAAATAGTTGCCAGTAATGCGACTATTTTCTATTGAACACTTTTAAGCTTGTCATGGGAACGCTTACCAATTATTTTACTATTCTTTTACATGCATTCAATAATTCATTACAACCCATTAAAAGTCCAATGTTCAACTTAGACCTACGTCATAAATTGCCTTATAGGTGAGAAATATGCCATAGTTACCACGCTCGGCAGGCGGGTTGGCAAATTTAGTATTATTAGGCAATTATTTAAAAGAAAACGCTGCTGCCAATTTTTTATTTCAGTTTTTATATAGGAAAAGGGTGACAAACGAGCACACAGGCCACCCGATGGTAAGTGGTTGATGTGGCCCATAGACATCTACATCTATCCTCGTTTGCGAATCAAAATGCAGATGCGTTGTCAGCCGTGAGAACTAAGATGGAATGCCTCTTTTCCAGTAAAAATGTTCTCCGGTTCTCTAGACTCACCATATGAAACACAGTAGTATTAAGCTGCTATTTTACACTGGTATTCTGTGAGAGCGTGGTCCTTCCCCGGTCGAGCCGACCCATTTGTGCTCTAACTATACCAGAGATATAGCTGCAGCATGGCGCTACCATGTAAAAAACTTCGTCTTAGTTTTCAAGGGTGACATCGCATCTGCATTTTGAATCTTAATTGGAGATAGATATAGGTGTTTATGGACCACAACATCCAATTATCATCAGGTGGAACGTATGCTCGTTTATCACCGTTACGTCTAAGCTTTTGACCCTACTTCCTATTGCCAGTCTGCGAATTAAACATCTGGTTTATATGACACGGATATACTACTTTGTATTGGAATATAAGTTTATATAAAACGTTATTCGGTTAGCACATTATAATTAATTAAGAAATACTTTCGTACCCTGTTTTAGCAGATAAAGCATCAGCAAGAGCCTTAGATCCTAGTGGAGAGTAGGCGACCACCGGTATTCCGAGCTCCTTAGCGACGGCGATTAGTGACCGCTGCTGGCATAATAAATGTATTTCGATTTGTAAGCATGCCGGCTTCTCTACAGCGTTTAGCCTTCTCAGTTGCTCCTCGTTCACATTTGATACGCCTACGTGATGAACCCTTCCTGACTGTTTTAGTTTTAGTAGGGCCTGTAATTAAAGATTCATTTTTATAGAACTGCATCCTAGCCTGTTTTTTAACCGACTTCAAAAAGGAGGAGGTACTCAATTTGAATGTGTTTTTATATGTGTGTTACCTCATAACTTTTTTCTAGGTGAACCGATTTTAATCATTCTTTTTTTTATTTGAAAGCTAGTGCTTCCCATATGGTCCCATATAAATTCCATCAAGGGCTGATTTTTGAGTTATACTCAATAATTTATATTGAAGTCGGTGGTACAAAGTTTTAAATTTTATCACTTGTGTTCCTATCACACAAGCGTTACATCGGTCACGGGTAGTTTAGGACAAGTGAGTACTTACGGGAATATCAGAGCGTATGCTTATGACTGTAGATAAAGATCTAGACTAACTGCAGATTTAAACTATACACACGGACAGACTAATTATAGAAATTAGACAGACGCACAGTGAGGTCGAAAATGAAACGGAATATTTAATAATTAAAATTTTAAAAAACCTTCGAAACAAAAATAGCTGATGATCTTCAAATGGCTGAAGCGATTTTGATAAAACACCACCGCTAGAAAACCTGCCTTTAAATTAATTAGCTTTTTTAATTATTAAGATCGGACCAAAATTAATAATTAAAAAAGCTGAAGGTAGTCGGGGTTAACTCTGACATCGGGACGTCAATTACCTCATTCCCCCGTGACCATGGTAGCTGGAAAGCAACCGAAACGTCGGGAAAATAAAATAAGTTAATTAAACGCGATAAAATCCGTAAAAGTAGTTTTATTCAAGCTCTAATATAATTATAAGGCTGTAGATTTCACTACGCAAAAGCATTTCTTGCAAACAAAGAATTTCATATATTAAACTTTTTTTAATGTTGATATTCATTGGAGTACTTATCTTTCCGATTTTCTTATTATAAATAGGCTAATGTTATTAAAATGACTGCAAAAAAAATGTTGACTTAAAACAGCATGGGTACAAATTTTGGCTTTTTAGAGAGGCAAAGTTGATGAAGACCACAGAATACGTTTAAAATATTACGAGTATTTTGTGACACATTATGGTCATTGGTACTTTGTAAGACGTATGCAGAAGTATGTTAATAAACAAATGTAATGAAATGTCAATGGTTTCTACCAAGAAATTAATCACTAATGCTAACATGAACTTGATTTCTCTAAATAACGGTGATAAGCTGATGGTGTTTCTCATATATCATATCACGGAACAATTGTGTGAAAACGTAATAAAGCTTACCTACCTATTGTGTTATGCTTAATATGCTTTTCTTACTAAAATTTCACCCGGTCCACATATTTTATTAGGGCGAGTAACGGGGCGCACGTTGGTGTGAGTCTCCAATTTATCTTTGATCTTAAGAGGTATTTCCTTCCTCTTTGCTTTTAAATCATTGCGAGTGCTCGAGATTGTTTGTGTAGTCGAAGAACGCCAGTAATATTTTGGACCGTGCAGAACTAAAAAATGATTCTTTTTTGTGCCACGCGAAATCTTTGTGTTCGAATGTTTGAATTTTCGTATTAGATTGTGTATAAAAACCTGCATAACATTTGGTTGCTTATGCTCAAAACGTCTCATGCTGAACATGCTGTCGATCAAAGATAATTGTGATAGTGACTGCGTTAAAATGTGTGAAATAATCTCTAAACTATGATTTGAATTTAAGCTATACTGGCATCCAAAATCGATTAAATTAGTGTTGTTAGAATTGATCTTGCGAAGAACGGTTTGAGCCCTATGGTGTTTCGTGGTTCCATATTTGTTATTTTTCAACAAAGCTATATTTATCAAATTTTCTCTTTTTTTCGTCCTAAAAAGTGGCTTTGAAAAGATTTTCTTTTGTGCAGTTTTTATTACTTTACGTAATGAATGGTTACAAGAGAAATTCAAAGAATCCGCAGAACTTTTCTTAGGACATATATTAATTTCTTTTTGACCTGCTTCCTGAATTCGAAAATCATTAGAGCGTTTGCTATGAGATGGTACTTTGTTTTCATCATCATTGTTAACTAGATTACGAGCCGTGTAAGATTTGGTCTTCATAAAATCTCTTGAATGCATTATTGTTTTGACTTTCTTATTAAAACGATTTAAGATTTAATATCACAACGCAAAAGCGTTGCCCGACATGTCTTTCCATTTTGGATCATCTCTGCGTCTGTTTTCGTTGATTTTTTCTTGATGATCATTTTTTAAGTATCTTTGGATATTTCATATTTTCAGATTAGAACAATAAAGATCAGAGTTACGACAGCATCTCTGCCTTCGTTTCTTACACCAAGCACAGGTGCATAGGTTCTTAAGATATTTTAAGAATTTTTTGCACTTATTTTTTTTAGGGCGCGAAGGCTTTGCAGTGGTACGACTGGATGGTAATTTCTTTGGTGTCGGAGCTTTTAACATATCTGAGTATAAAAATAGAAGCATAAACACATTTTAATAATAAAAAAAAAACAGTGCCGGATGTAAATTATATCAATATTACTACTTATCCCCTTTTTGTTAATGCTACTTACTGATTAAATTTTTGTCATTTTACTTTGCCGGTTTGCCATTGGAATAGCCATCGACATAGGAATCATTTATTTAAGTGATTCAACTCTTATATTTTTGTTTTTATATTAATATTTCTATCATTCTATGATGACATAACTAAAAAATCTGTCACTATAATCTGTCATATTCCTCCTCTATTATTTGACATTGTTAAGCATATTATGTACTTTATGGCAAAGGTATAATAATATATACAAGCGATGTATCTTAGATTATTAATATATCAATAATGTAAGCAATGTATTATATTATGTATGTAAAATATATCAAAAGAAGTAATTAATTAATAAGTACATTGTGTCTTCTGGCGGTGTCATTAATGACGTCATCGGCGAATTTTATCCCGAGGATGTCGTAAAGCGCGTCTTAGGCAGAATCCAAAAAGATCTTGCGGTCTGCTAAAGATGGCAGTATAGCTACCCCATATTTAATTATGTAAAATACCCAAAGTTTAATAACTTAAAATTAAAAATTTTGTACAATCGATTTCACTATAAACTATTAAGAATAACTCAAAACTATTGGTCAGACCTTGATCAAATTTATATGGGACCACATGTGAAGTGCCAGCTTTCAAATAGAAAATCAATTCACCCAGAAAAAAAGTTATGAGGCAACAAACATAAAAAATATACAGTCGAATTGAGTACCTCCTCCTGTTTGAATTCGGTAGAAAATGCTATAAGTCCATAGTAAAATTTACATTAAAGACATCTTTGGAAGTTGGTATTTGAAATAATAGTATTTATGTTTTACTTAACATTCGTGATTTGATCTCAAACTATTTTGATTTGCTATGAGTCGCTTACCGTTATTTAAAATATTTTAAGTGCGCTAAAATTCATTGAAGAAGGTGGTAGATTCTTTCCTGCTCCAAAATATCCTAGAAATAGGAGGAGGCCACAAGGCTTCTATACTTTAATTTAGTAATATATTTTTAGAATAGAGTGACAAACGAGCACACCGTCCACCTGATGGTAAGTGGATGTTGTGGCCCGTAGACTCAATTAAGAATCAAAATGCAGATATGTTGTCACTTCTCAGGACTAAGAGTAAAAAAGGGTCTCCGGTACTCTATTAAGTTGATATTTTAGGCTAATGTTCAGTGAGAGCGTGGTCCTACCCCGGTCGAACCGACCTATTCGTGTTACAACCATAATAATATAGCTATCTTCCTACCTACCTTCATACCTTCAACGAATCTCAGCGACCCGAAATCTGCCAAACTTGGTATAAACGTTATACTACGAGTATGATACAAATTTTAAGGTTGTATTCCCTTGCCCAGTTTCAATTAAGCTTTTCATTAAACAAGCAGGAGTTTATGGAATCTATGGAGTTTTTTTTTTAAATTAAAAATGGGCTTACTCTTGACCTCCATCTAGACCGAGGGCAAAGATGAGGTCTACGATGCAGCGAGTTTACCCTGGAGAAGCCTGTTCACACGCACCTTGAAGAGTTTCAGGTTATACGCACACGGAAAAACAATCGCCGGCAGGGCTTTCCACTGCTTGGCTGTGCGCATTATAAAAGATGACTTATAGCGCTTAGTGCGAATACTCGGATTATCAACCAAGTGTGGATGATAACCTGCAGTACGTCTGGTACTCCGACAGGAGAATGGAGATGGTGGTATGAGCTTATAAAGCTCATGGTAACATTCTCCGAAGTCCATCTGTAGACCGACAAACAAGCAACTTGACGGCGGTGAGCTAAGCTGTGAAGCTTAGTTTCCACTAGCTTTTTGTCACCGATAAGCCTCTTGGCTCTGCGTTGCACTTAGTCGAGTGCGGCAAGTTGATAATATGCTGACCCATCCCAAAACTGACTGCAATACCCCATGCATGTTCGGACTAGAGCATTGTATAAAGTTAGAAGTTATCTAATCGTGAAGTATCGCTTCGTCTTGTTTAAGATACCCAGTTTTTTGGCCGCAGTTTGTGCTTTCGACTCAATTTTACCAAAGTTGAGGTTAGCAATCAACTGTATGCCGAGAAACTCGAGATGATCAGTAACCTCTACAGATCTACCTCGGAAAGTAGGAGACAGATCAAACGGACTTCATTTTGCGGAGAACAGACAGGCCTTGCAGGAATACTATTTTTATCTATATCATCTTTTGCAAAGCTCTACGTAACTCTTTCGTATGGATAGTGACCTTCGGCATCGAAGAATCACAGCGAAATAGGGTTTAGAGACAGCATCTAGACGAGAATTGCTCGCAAACAGAGATGCAAATAAATTTCCTTTCTCAGTCGCGGAATGAGCCAGTGTTCCATCAGGTTTCTGCATGGGAGGCAATGAGGGACGGCAGAAGTTGGAATCGATGCTTTTGACAGGGACCAAAAAAGGATGTCTGGCCCCTATACGACTGACATGGTTGAATCATGCTCTGCGGAGAACCCGCTTGCAGGACTTAGAAGCAAAATTAAAAGCT